GCATCCAAACAGACAAGGCTCCCACAAAGCCTGTCCATGCAGTAGAATCAAAGCCCAGCGCCATTGTCCTTGGCTTCTTAGTCAGCCTCCACCATCAGCCACATTCAGAGAGTTCAGTTTGATCACATGCTCCATCAGTCCCATTCCAACTGGTCTTGGTGAGCTCCCATTAGATCTGTCCCACCGTCTCAGTGGGTGAACATACCCCTCGCAGTCCTGACTTCCTTGCTCATGTTCTCCCTCCTTCTGCTCCTCATTAGGACCTTGGGAGCTCAGTCCAGTGCTCCAATGTGGGTCTCTGTCTCTATCTCCATCCATCGCCAGAAGAAGGTTCTATGGTGATATGCAAGATATTCATCAGTGTGGCTCTAGGACAAGGTCAGTTCAGGCACCCTCTCCTCTGCTGCTCAAGGAACAAGCTGGGGACATCTCCTTGGACACCTGGAAACCCGGGAGTCAACCTACCTCAGGACCCAGCAATTCCACTCTTAGGAATATACCCAAGAGATGCCCAATCATACTACAGAAGCATTTGTTCAACTATGCTCATAACAGCACTATTTGTAGTAGCCAGAACCTGGAAACAACCTAGGTGCCCCTCAATAGAAGAATGGATAAAGAAGGTGTGGAACATATACACTTTAGAGTTCTACTCAGCGGTAAAAAACAATGACATCTTGAATTTTGCCTGCAAATGGATGGAAATAGAAAACGCTTTACTGAGTGAGGTAACACAGACCCAAAAAGATGAATATGGTATGTACTCACTCATAAGTGGATTCTAGCCTTAATTAAAGGACATTGAGCCTATCATTCGTGATCCTAGAGAAGCTAAATAAGAAGATGAACCTAAAGAAAAACATAGTTGTCCTCCTGGATATTGGAAGTTGACAAAATTGCCGGGCAGGGGTTGGGAGTACGGGGGTGGGGTGAGGTGGGGATAAGGGGAGATGGGGAGAGAGAAGGCAGAAGGGGAGGATGGGGAGAGCTTGAGGGAATGGGATGGTTGGGATGAAGGAGGAGTGGATGTGGGAGCAGGGAAGTATATATCTTAATTAAGGGAGTCATTTTAGGGTTGGCAAGAGACGTTCCTCAATTCTTGACCCAGAGTCTCAGTTGGCACTTAGCCTATCCAGTGCCACAAAGTCTGGTGAGTAGCCGGGTGACCTTTGTGTCAAAAGACCCTCAAGACTTCCAGCCTGAGACAGACTCACTACTCTTGCAGTGGGTTTTCCCCTCAACTTTTATTTTGTTTTCAGTATTTGATCTTGAGCGATAGGAGCTGTCTTCATACATTAGACATTTTCATTTTGGCTTCCCAGTTTCATTTGGATCTTCTGCTCATTCGTTTATTTTTACTTTTTTTGAGACAAGGTCTCCCTCTGTAACCCGGGCTGGACTGGAATTCAGCACGAATGATGTGACCATCCTTTAATCGGTTTTATATTTAAGGTTCCACGATAGTAGGAAGGGCAATCTTATGCAGAATGTAGCATGTGGAAACAACTGCTAGTTGTACGACCTGGTGACTGTAGTCAAAAACAATGCATTGTGTGCTTGAAAACTGCCGAGAACAGATCACAAGTGTTCTCACTGTCCAAAAATGTTAAGTATGTGTGGCAATGCATGTGTTAATTAGCTTGATCTATTCATCCTGCAGGATATACATGATCAGAACATCATGTTGTAAAGTTTAGATATATATTATACAATTTTAATTTGCCAATTATAAAAAGAGTAGCACGGAAGGTTGAAAAAAAACCTGCTATAATTATGAGAAGCTTTTCCCTGTACAGAAAATACTGGCCACAGGAAATTTGTCTGGCAGAGGCTAACTTTTGCTTGGTCCTCTGGCCTTTTCTGATACTGAGAATTGAACCAGAGAGGCTCAAAGTAGGTTGATTCAAGAACCAGGGTGATGTTTTCACTCACTTGGGACAGTGTGTGAAGCTCTTCATGAGGAAACATAAAGCAAGAGAGAATTCAGCAATTCAGCAAGATAATGAGCTACAGAAGAGAGAGAGCAGGGTGCACTATGCTAGGCAAAGCGGAGGGGCCCTGAGTAACATTTTAGGGTGGGTGTTTTTCTTCGGTGCTTAAGTAGGGCTGGGGACATAATTAAATGATGGAGAAAGTTTCTCTCTCTCTCTCTTTCTCTCTCTCTTTCTCTCTTTGTCTCTTCCTTCCCTCTCTCTCTGTGGGTGTGTGACTGCCAGTATATCTGTTTCTCTCTTACCACAGTGAGCTCTTTTCAGTACCACTGGGTGCCTCCCCTACTCCACAGTGAGGCTGTTTCTCGCCTTGGCATTTCAGAGGGTCTGCTCAGTCTGTGGGTACCCGGATGTGAGGAGAATAGCTACAGGGTGTTCTGTGCAAATGTTAGGACAACTGTCAACCTGTGACCTCCATAGGAAACTGAAGTGCCATTTTCAGGGCCCATGAGCTCTCTCAGAGTACAGGAAGATACCTAATGTTCAAAATTTAAGGAGAATGGTTAAGAGGCAAGATACATAGAAACCCTTGTTCCTTATTTAACTACAGCCAGGGTAACAAATGATTGACTTTCTGTACCCTGTGAGTTTTACTGAACCAGAGAGAGAGAGATGGGTGGAGGGAGGGAGGGAAAGAGAGAGAGACTCTTGTTCCTGTTCAGCTTGTATTAATATTTTTGTTGTGTCTCCTATTACATAGCTGTCCCAGTTTGCCCTGGGGTAGATCTCTATCATCAGCAGAGAATGAGAGACAGAAACATACACAAACACACATTTGCTTTCAAAGATAAATATAGGCTTCTCCTTAGGAACGGACGTGTAAAGCAAGTGAGCATCTGTGTGCAAAGTAAGGACATTGCTGTCATTGGCCTGTAATGACATCAGGGCTTTGTCTGAGACTTGGACCCCTTAGGGCTTGATAATCTCAGAGAGGCTCTTTGTCTTGGCCTCCATTTAGCAGTTAGGTCCCTTTGCTTCCTTGATTTTGTGATGTGGATCTTTTAGCAGACAAACCAACTAACCCAGGAACTCCACGCCACTGCAAATAATCCTGTCTGCCCTGCCTGCACCATTTGCGTGTGTGTGATGTGTATGTGTGTTTACACTTGAGTGCATGTGCGCATGTGCTCATAGAGCCAGAGACTGACATTTTCTTCAGTCACTGTCTGCCTTGCTTTGAGACAGGGGACTCTTACTGATTCAGCAGGACTAGCTGGCTGGCAAGCCCTAGGGAACCTCTTCTCACGGCATCTCTGGGCCCAGGATTGCAGGGGCACACTGCCATGCTAGGCTTTCTACCTGGGTGTTGGGGATCCAAACTAAGGTTCTCATGCATGTACAGTAGACATCTTACTAACTGAGACACCCCCATCAGGACCTGACTCAGGTTCCATGCCTTTGTAAAAGCTCAGGACTGGAACCGAGCCTTGACCTGTGCAGAGACAAGGCAGGTTTCAGAGGATTTGTGTTTCTAGACAGTATTCCAGTTCCTGGAATCATCTCGATTTCACCTCACCTCATTACTCTACGTCCTTCTTATCTGTCCCCCAGAGAGTCTTAGAAACAGGATGAATGGAGAAAGTCTGATGATAATGAGAGTCTTCTGCATCCCTTTCAGGAGCATACTCTGTATCTGTGTAAAGTATCTGCTGTTTGATGTCTCCATAGTTACTATTTAAAACTTATGGGGTTAACTCCATCTCTCTCTCTCTCTCTCTCTCTCTCTCTCTCTCTCTCTCTCTCATCTATCTATCATCTGTCAATCAATTATCTATCTCTCTACACTATCTTGTTGAAACTGACCATCAGGTAAATGGTTTCATCTGGAGGAGTTTTTCCATAGATGCATGCCTAAGAATCAATCTCTCTCCTGAGAGGGAGGTACTGTTTTGGCTGTTCTTCTAGAAGGGTCAGCTCAGTCCCAAGTAAAGAAAACAATCAGTACTTGATAGGACCTGCTAATTGTCAGACACTTTGTTAGGCACTTCATATATGTGAATATGAACCTCCACAGTGGCTGTGGCTATAAGGTGACATCTTTTTATCTCCTCCCACCTCCACCAATGCCCTGACTGACTCTTCTCAGGAGTGTCCATTCAGCTGGTTAGAATAACAGTGGAAAACAGAGTAGAGATAGAAACAGACTGTCTCATCTTGAATTAAAGTGCCTACAACTTAAGGTGGCTGGGCCTGGGCTAGGATCCTCATTATCTTAGGCATTTGCATTTGGTGTTCATACCTCAGGAGTACACAGCTCCTACCCCTTACCACTCCAGGCTGCTTCAGGTCAAGGTTAGGCAAAAGTGTGGAGTAGGCTAAGGTTGCTTTCTCTAGAGTCCTCCCCCCAATTCTTCCCCCTGCTAACACCCACCCCACGGTGGGTGGGGCTAGAGGAACTTGGGCTGTTCCTGATTCATCTCTCCAAGAAGACTCTAGCCGGCTGTTCCCTGGGGCCTCTCTCTCAGATCTGGAGCCGATAAACTAATTGGGGCTAATGTGATAATGGGCAATGATGACATTTACTGTTTTTATCAGGCCCAGGGCATATATTTGCATGTTAACAGGGCCTTTGGCAGGTAGACGGGGCTGAACTGGAGGGGAGGTGGGTTTATTTGCTGGAGGTTAGAGAAGCAGAGGGACTTTACAGACCTGCCCCGAACTGTACCCCAATACCTCCTTTAAAGACCCACCTCCTTCCAAGACCACACAAACCCATCCCTGCCCCACCACCGTCTTTTGCACTTGAAAGTTCTTGGAATTCAAGTCACTAAAACCAAGCAGACCAAGCGAACGCTGCGCTGGCTGTCTCTCCATCCCTGTTAGCAACCATTTGGTGTCTGTTCCTTTCTCAAGCCTTAGCTTCTATATTTCGTTTTCACGGTTGGAACTTCTGGGTTGTGACCACAAAAATCTATCTACCTTTGCCGAAACTCCCTCCTGTCTCCCGACAAAGAGGGAGAAGTTTAAGAAACCTGTCTGGATGCTTTGCTCATAGAAGGCTGGTGTCCAGGAAGACCCAAGGGGGAAAGTTAATGGTTAGGAGACTGTATTTTTCCTGGCCAGGGCACTCGCTCACCTGTGCAGGTGGAGAAACATTTGGGACCCAGTGAAGCAAGAATAGGAAACTCCCTGCATAGCCTTGGCTCAGGGGGATGGGGCTCTGTGAAATCCAAAGATCTCCTTAGCAGTCCACATCTTGTTCAGACTCTGTTGGCATTTTGGTTTTCTTTTCTGGATCCTACAGGAAGGGTTGATAAATAGTACAAAAAAAAAAAAAAAGGAAAGAAAGAAAAGAAAAAAAAGAAAAAAGAAAAAAAGAGTCTCGGAAGTGAAGTAAAGAGGATCTTGCCGACCAGTCCCTGCCTTGTCAAGGATGATTGTTGCCCTTAGACATCTCATAGTGGACCCTTCTAGGGCCATCCCCTTATAACCTTCCTCCAAGGTGCTTACCTGGAGCTGGGGAAAAAGCCTGTTCAAAGTCCTCTAAAATTGTCAAGAGTCACTACCAAGAGCCGGTCATGGTGCCCCGAGAGAGAATGGGCTAGATGCTCCTTCCACGCTTGGTACCTGCACAGCCAGGGCAAAGGTCTTGATGCCAAAGCAGAGAGGACTAAATACAGGTTAGGAATGAGACAGATGTTCAAGAGCACCTCACAGCCCTCTTTCTTTCTTCATCTGCCCGCCAGGGACTTGGGTTTTTATCTATCCCCCCCTTCCCAAGCGTCTTTGGGAAGTGAGGCATTTTTTACCTGAAACTGCCTCTAAGCTGAAAGGCACGGTCACCACCAAATCAATTCCTCATCCATTAACAGGTTGTCTCTGTTCTTGAGACACAGGCATAACCTGGTTAGACCTGTTTTGTTTGAACACTAACGTGTGAGTTGGCCAAATGCAAATGAGCCAATGTTTGTAATCCTTTATTTTATTTTTTTAAAGGGCTGGGCAGCCAATCAGAGGAGGGGGAAGTGACTTAGGGAATTCCCGGTTGGTGGCTTATTGCTTAACATCCTACAAAATGATTTTAAATTATTGTCATATGCATTTATCTTCACTCTGATGAGAGCTGAGACGTGATAAGGCCGTGGCTCCCCATCCCGGTAGGAGCTGGTGCGGTGGCTGCCTCCATCCATAGAGCTGTAGGACTGCCCATCCAGAATCTTTAGGTAAATGAGGTAAGTCCTCACTTTTAAATCTTCTTTTGAACCTGAAATTCATACACCTGTGTGGAAAGAGAAGCCTGTCTTGACTCAGACAGGTGAAAAGAAACCAGAGGCTCCGGGACGCAGCTGGCAGGAAGTAAACCTTGTGTTACCTGGCCTCACCTCCTGAGTCTTGTTCCAGTTTATTTGGGTGAGAGCCTCTGGGCTACGTGAGTGTTATCTGTGATTTTTTTTTGTGTGTGTGTGTGTGTTACGTTGTCTGAATTTCCAGTCAGCAAAATTCTAAAAGCCCCCTGGCTTCTCTCTGCCCATGTGGTGTGACAAAGCCATGTCCCTGGGTTAGAGTTTTGTGGAACGAAAAGCAGTTGGAGACAGGTGACTCTGATGTTGCTGAGTGACAAGCTGGTTGGCTAAAGGCTGCTAGGGATCAGAGAGCATAGACTCACAGTCTAGAGGTGTCTTTGCTGCTATTCTTTTTTTTTTTTTCTTCTGACTTACAAGCAATATGGAAAAGCCAATTTACCTTCACTATATTCCCGCTGGGGAAAATGGCTGTAGATAGGTAAGATTCACAAAGGGAACAGGGACCAGGTGGCCAAGGTGGGAAGACTGTAGCCGTCAGAATGATCCCCTGTAGAAAGAAGACTCAAGTTAGGTAAACGATTTTACCTTATCACAAGCGGACAGACCAACCCTTTGTTTTCCACAATGGGATACTATGACCAGACAGGCAGACATGACTCACCAGCAGCAAATGCCTTCGATATAGGGACTCTTTGGCTCTTGTTTGTACTCCATGAACAAGTGTTGACCTCAGTGGGGACCGAGGAGAGAAAAGTGGGGGGATGAATCTTGATGGCTCGCAAGAGCACCAAGGTGGCAAGGTCACTTTTATTTTTATTCTTTTTAATGTCTGCTTTGGGACACTCGGAGTGTTGCTGTGGGGTGGTGCATGAAGTGTGAGCTGAAGTGTAAGGTTCTCTGGGTTTGAGTCCTCAGGTGCCTCTGTTTTTCTCTGTGCCGGCCTCAGGCAGAGCGGGGGAGTTTGGAGTCTGAGATTTCTGGTCGAAGCAGCAGTTGGTTCTGTGGGCATTGGTGTGAGGATGTATCAAGACCGTATCTTCCAATGTATAAGGGGAAGCTAGGGACCACGAACCACTGTGTGCCACTTCCCCTGAGGTTCAGAGAATAGTCAGTCTCTAACAGAAGAGACTCAGATGTGTTATGAGAAGAATTTCACAGTCAAGAATGGGATTAGAACATGGAGCCGTGTGACTGGTTACTGCTGCATCACTGGCCTGTGGTATTTAAAAACTGTAGTGGAAGAGAGGAGAGTTATTTGGAAGTTTTTAACCACATCTAAACACTACCAAATATTATGAATACAACCTTCTATGTTTCTAGATTGTTGGGCAGAGGTCCTGAAAGAGAGCAATCTTGAGGATGCTACTATGTTGCAAGTTAGAGGACCACTCAGGACATCTTATTTCGGGCCTCTCCCCGTGGCTGTGGGTAGGAAATGTGTTGGACCCAGGCTTCATTTAGGCAAGAGGTCTCAGATTTGATAACATGTTTTGGTGTGTGTGCTAAAACAATTATATTATCTATATCCACCCAAGCTTCCTGATGTTTTTTATTATTAAATTATTATACTACGATTTTTATTGGGAGTGCCTTGGGTCTTTCTAGACCTCTGGTAAGCTCCAATCACACTCACAATTCCATATTTGTGGTCCCATAAGGGTTTCCCCTTCATCCTCTTTCAGTACCCTTTTGACTCCTTTGAAGGCCCGAGACAAAAATGGAAGCTGAGAGCTCAGCTCTGCTCTCAGTGGCATTCTGTTAGCTAGCTGGGATCACCAGGTCAGAAGGTGAGTGCTTCCGGGCCATGTTCTGCTCTAAGGAAGTGGACTGCACTTTCTGCGATCTACCAGGTTTTATTTCCTTCTTATCATCGGTGCTCTCTGGGGGAGTTGAGAGCTGGGCTGTGTTCACTGGACTTTCTTGCATTTTTTTATTTAAAATTTAAGTATGAGAATCTTGCTTTGCCTTGCGCCGTCACACACAGTTTGGGGGAGTGTGCTCCGTATCCTCTCCTTTTGGATAGTGGCACCCCTAGGGCTTTCCAAAGAGATATGACCTTTGAAGACTTCTGGGAGGTGAGGCAGAGAGGGTACCAAAACACGGAAACTGAGTCTGCCAACTCACAGCGCTACGGTTTGAAGGAACCAAACATAAACTCAAAACCTCCCTTTCAGTACCACCACTTTGCTGGCGTTTTAAGCCATTTCTCCTGTTCACCTGACTCTCCTCTTCTGTGGAGGTAAAACAGCAGACTTTCCTGTCGTGGGTGGGGCCCCAGTTGGGGAGCATTGGCTTGGTGCTCCAAGACCACACAACCGGACCCTGCCTTGGTTACTGTTTAACCGAGCACAGAGCAGTGGTTTTCATGGCGGGTAAGCTAATTCTGTAGTGGGGTCCTCAGAGCAGTGATCACTGCCCAACTTTTCTTAATTCGATTCCCAACAGCTGGTGGGAGAGGGTGGGTAATTCATTTTATTTGACGTTTTCATACCTGCCTGTGAAAAATGGTTTTAAGTGATACGATTTTCTCTAAGTAGCAGGCACTTTTGATCTTATCTCAGAATGGGATGTATTTTCTAGCCAAATGGCATCACGGAGAGGAAGCCAAGCTGCTCTTGAGTAGACGTTTCTGTCAGTCCTTTGGAGTTAGCTGATGAAAACTTTACTGCCTTTTAGATGGGAGCAAAGATTATTTCTTAAGGATGGTCCCCTACAGCTGGCTGGTGCTGTCTTTGGAGTGATCAGGACACAGGACAGGGAAGGCAGTTGGTGGGACAGTGCTAAGCATGACAGAAAGGAGACCTGGCAAGTCTGAGTGGCCCAGAGAGAACACTGTACCTCTCTGGGTTTTAGTTTCCTCTTTTATACATACTGAATATCTTTAAGATATATTTGAACTCACAGATTCTGCCGGCTCTGGTGGCCAAGGGTAGGCGGAACACCTGTGCTGAGTGTCAGCAGGATTTGAGTCTATGAGATTAAGAGAGGGGTGACAGATGTCCCCAAGACAGGATGACCACTGGGGGCCCTTGAGTATCTCTGTTAGGGTCTTCAGAACTTTGACTAAGGATTGACTATTGAGGAATGAACCTGGCAACCTTCATTGGCAGTGAGGGGATGGGGGTCTCAGACTCTAATGGCACATGGTACCCCATCTTAATCGACAGACTCAGAGCTGGCAAGATAGTGTCTTGTGATAATAGGGAGCCGGTGATGCACTAACAGCACTTGAGGAAGCCTGGAGCTACTTCTGAATCAGCCAAAGGTGAGACTTCCCATGCTGGCTTCTACTCGGCCTGAGCTGCCTTGATTTGTCTGTGGGTGACTGGGCAGATGAGAAAGATGTGGACCCTGTCCTAGAAGAATATTCAATGGTCATCATGTGGGCAATAGGGCTAGTTGGGTCAACCAGGAGCCTGTGCTGTTTCCAGATGGCTCAGCTCTGTATCTGCAGCAGACAGAGCTCACACGAGGGTCAAGCACGGTGTCCCACTTAAAGAGGCTCCTAGGGTATTAATTGACTTGGTTTAAGAGACACCCTGTAAAATGATCCTTTGAAAACGATTTCACTAGCACCTAACCACAGTGTGTCTTTGGTTTGCTGTGCGGGGCTGGGCTCCTCATCGCCTGGCCACTGGCCTCACCTGTACCCCCTCTCCGGCTCTCTCACTTGTTTCTCAGAGTTAGCATCATTGTTAAGGGGTTTGGGCCACTTATTTAAATTATGGTGTGTATAGGTCTACCCAAAACATGATTTCTGATGACACAAGCCTAAAATTAAAAAGGGGCAAAGAGCCAAACAGACATTTTGTGCCTGTTAAGAGAACCGAGAATTCCATGAACCCAACTATTTCACTACGAAAACTTATCTCAAATAACCTTGTCTAGATGCACACTTTCTTTGATGTAGCCATGGTGAAGTCAAGGTGGCCTTGTCTGCTGCTTCTTGCTCTTCTTATATCACGGACTCATGATAAACAGTCTTTTGGGTTGGGACCGTATGCCAGGTATGAATGTGAGAAACTTCAGTTACTATTAGCCTGTTCCCACCTGATACCAGCTGAACTCGGATGAGCCTCTCTCAGAATAAAGAGGAAGTTCTTGTTGTGCATGCTGTGATGGCAGAGTTTGGTGAACATGACCATCTTACAGAGTTTGCCCCGGGATCTCTTAGGAGACCTTTAGCAAGCTTCCCTCAGCAGGGCTGCTGTTACAGTCTTGACGAGAGGTGGGGGCAGAGCTATTACCAGTTCTGTCTTCCACGAGACCGCTGAGCTGACTTGTTTCGGCTTTGTGTGGGCTGTAGATTTGGCCTGAAATGTAGCCTCTGCCTAGCTTTGTTCTTTTTTAAGAAATTAAAAGGCAGATGGTTGCGATTCTGCCCTCTTCCCTCCACTGGCCAGAGGCTGTTTGGAAGATCACGAATGAAGAGTAGATTTTGACTGCTTGTGTCTGAAGGGGCGGGCAGCACTGAGTTCTCATGACTGGGAAGGGGTTTTGCTGGAATGTGGTAGGAAGGACACTGTCAGAGTCCTGGGTACCTGGCTTTGAACTGGACACTGCCACTGAACAGTTGAGTGCTTTGGGGCAAATTCGATAAACTTTAGCATCCAAGTCTCTTCATCTGGAAAA